ATACCAAATGTGGAATTTTCTAACACTAGTTGTGCAAATATTGACATATAACTATTTTGGAAAAGTTAGGTATTACTTAGTAAAGTTGAAGAAACACATATCCATCCATTCCATTCCTAGATGTATTCTCAAGGTCCTATGCATGTACAATAGAACTTATATACAAGGATGTTCACAGTGGCTTTGTTCATAATAGTAAAAAACTTGGGAACAATACAAATGCCATTACAGTAGAAGACACATATAAGCTTGGTATATTACTAAGATGGACTACTACCAGTGAAGAAAACAAATCACAGCCACAGCACAAACATGAATGCCACAGTTTGGATGTGCTTGGTCTATCATGGGGCAGAATCTTTTAAGAGGTGGGTTACTGAGTAATTGGGCCATTGGGTGCACTGAACTGGAGATAAGATAGTTTTTGTGGGACTCCTGTTAGTTCTAGCAAGAATGGGCTATTATAAAAATAATAAAAAGCAAGATTGTCTTCTCTTTGATGTCTGGCTTCCTGTCTCTCAGTATGATTTATCCCTCTGACAAATACTCCAGCAACGGTTTCTCAAGTATGATTATTTAATCTGGATCTTTAAACCTTCAAAACTGTGAGCTAAATAAACTTCTTTTAAAACACCCAGTTTCAGGTACACAAGTAAGACAAAGTTAGCTAATACAACAAATGACTCTCAATGTTGACAGAGTCATAAAATGTGTAACATTCTACTTATTAAATAGAATGTAACATTTTAAAGGAATGCAGATATCAATCAGCATACTCAAAAGTGCAGTCTAGACAACACTGATCAGTGAACTATTATAGGCTGATGAAAAGTTAAGTATGTTAAGAAGTAAACATTAAGAAACACTGAATAATCTGACATTGCTAATACCTAACTTGCCTCTGCAAGAGTTTGTCATGGTTTGGAAATTTTTTTAACAAAATATGTGAGAACTACGTAACAGGTAAAAAATACATAGAAAAATAAGGAAATTATTTTCATTACCAGAACAATGAGTATCTCTAGATTCACAGGTGTCACCAGGAAAGCATAGGCAGGTTTCTAAGGTACTCATAAAATTTTATTTTTTAACCTGAGAATTGCATATGAATGTAATTCATAATTTTCTCTTTAAATTGTATATGTATTGACAGATTTCAAAGTTCTAAAAGTTTGAAAATTTGTTATATAKAATATCAATTTATTTAAAAATGTTTGCAAAAATCTATAAAAAGAGCTGAACTATTCCAAAATGAGTGGTGAAATTTTATTCTCTAAACCATTATCAAATTCTTGCGTTGGTGCCTTTTCTTTTTTAAATAGTAGTGATCACCAGTAATTATCAGTGCTGAAAACAGATTATACCAGACAAGTGCTACTTCTAAAAAATTTGGATCTCAGGAGGAAATCTGATTCCTGGCTGGGGATATAGCTCAGTTGGTAGAGTGCTTGCCTTGCATGCACAAGGCCCTGGGTTCAATCTCCAGCACTACAAAAAAAAAAAAAAAAGGAAAAAGAAAAAAATGATTCCTAATGATACTATCTGTGGATAGAAAAATGTGGACTGAAACACAGAATAACATCCCTGTATTTTCCTCCAGAATATGGATTCCAAGATGAAGTTACTTAAGAGATCAAACATCACCTCCATTGTTGTTAATAAGCTTTCCAATCTGTAGTAACAGGAACTGGATAATACTCCATGAATAAATAAGAAATTAAACAGCTCATGGACTGGCATAGCCACACAACCATTGGTGTCCCTTGTGGAATGTGAAGTTAAACTCATTAAAGAATAAGTCTTTTGATCTATCTATTCTCTTCTTCCTCTAGAAGCTTTGAAATACCTTGGACCCCTAAAGTCCATTCTGCTCTAATACTTTAGTTATATTAGTTGTTCACACAGCTAACCTAACATAACCCAAGTTATGTTCCTAAAGGTCAGACTATCTTCATTTTTTAAACTTCTAGCAGACTATGTTGGTGATAAACATCTAAACACTTTCATATTAGTGTCACAGATTAAGAACCATATAAATAGATGCCACATTAAGAACATAACTGAAGGCTGGGGATTTAGTGTCACAGATTAAGAACCATATAAATAGATGCCACATTAAGAACATAACTGAAGGCTGGGGATGTGGCTCAAGCGGTAACGCGCTCGCTTGGCGTGCGGCCAGGGTTCAATCCTCAATACCACATACAAGGATGTTGTGTCTGCTGAAAACTAAAAAGTAAATAAATATTAAAAAAAAATAACTGAAGCTTTAGAATTGGACTGATGAGAAAGATAGTTACTCAGATAGTTACACAGTGCTTGTGTGAGACATCCATCCTATATGTTTAATAAATATATTTCATTCTTATTATACTGAAGCAGATGAAAACATGGAAACAGTTGATAAAATCACTTGTGCAAGTTCATACAATCATGATTCAACTCCTAAGCACTGAACCTCTATGACAGATTTATCCAAATTGGTATTTAGGCAATCCTGTATAGGGGCTGAGAAAGAAGGGCTCTGGAGACTGACTAATGAACTAAGGTTCATTTCAGACTCTGCTAATATCTGTGTAATATGAGATTTTGTAACATCTATGTCTCAGATTCTTGATATACTAATTCATAAGATTAGTGCAAAAAGGAAATGTATAAGTAAGTAAAATACTTAGTGTAGCACCTAGCCCAGGGTAAGCATTCAACAAATGTTAACCTATATTTACTATCATTTCCTTGCTATTTTTGCAGAGCTGTGCCTAGGAACCAGATATTTTCACCTGGTTGCATTATAAAGGAAAAGGGGGAAAAACATAATAAATGCTCCTGGATGTTATACAACTTAATTTACTTAAAAATTTAAGAATCTTTCARAGCAATTGATGGCCTGTGTCTTTCACCCATATAGACTTTCAATAAGAAATGCAAAGAGTAGATACAAAATGAGGCAATGTGCATCTTTAACTGTCTTTCTTGGTTAGTCCCTCAGAGAGCTTAATGAAATACCAAATAAATGATTACTCTTGTTACAGAACTACTCCAAAGTGTGTGTTTATAGGAGCTTTAGAAAGATTTAAATCCTGACAGAAACAAGTGAAGTCAGTTTGCTGAAAGATTCTTTTATTCTATGAGAAAATGATGGGTGCAATTCCGTGGATCCAACATCTGTTAACTTAGAGAAATTATTTTTTTCTTTTAAAAAGTAAATGAAAAACCCCTTTGAATTATTTATATATTAATTTAATTTTTGAAAACAAAATTCATAGGGTCCGMTTTGTCCTATTCAACTATAAATGCTATATATGTTTAYAAACCAAAAGRAAACGGATAGTACAGACATTTCAATGAAATCTTTCAAAGAATAAAACTGCTTTTCAATCCATTGTATTTTCAAAACTGATTATCATCAAGCCCAGATGAAAGCTGTAAACCAAAAACCATGTTTCTTTAATAGAAAAAAGAATGTACAGAATAAAGTAACATTTTAAAATGTATCTTCGCTCAGTTGAAATTTTAGTATAAACCTGTGTATCAAGTCGCTTCCCATTATTTATTCTACTTTAAAAATATATACAACTATCATATTCAAATATGTATTCTGAGTCATATGTCCAAACATAAATATTTGGGAAATTCAAACTGCTGCAACAAATTATGAAAGAATTAAAGAAAAAAAATGAGCTGCAGACTATGTAGTAGGAGGAAGAAAATAAAATGTTATTTAGCATTTATGTCTTGGGTAAGTATTTTTAAATTTATATTTACATACCCAGTTAATTAGATAGCTGTCAAAATTTAGCCAGCTACGGAGAGATTAGACTAAGACTCAACTATTTTCAACAAGATAACAGGGGTGATTTCAAAAACTTTAATATATCTCAATAGTTCCATCAAAAATGGTGATGATAGTCTGATATCATGAAGTTCGAAGAGGCACAGGTTAAATGAGTGCACTATCTATGCCAAACTTGGCAAGATCTATACCTGACTCTGTTTAATTATGGTGTAAGTGTCAAAGCCAATAGAGTCCATGGGCAACCAGAAAATGTCATTTTATATATATCCATACTTATCAATCACATTAACATTAGTGCTCAAAACTTCTATATCTAAACATGAAGGGATGCTTATAAAGCTGAAGGACGACTTTGACACAAGAACCGGAATAAAAATAAATCTGCAAAACTTCTCTTCTTAATCCATTGATAAATTTTGTTTAAGGAATAGCTACTTGGTCTTTTAAGAATATTAAAGGGTTGAAAACATGTTCACCCCTTGCTACACTGTGACATCTGATATTAGCAAGCATGATAACTTCATTTTGTTCTTACATGCAGAAGTGTGTGTGTGTATATATATATATACTTATATATATACTTATATACATATATAAGTATTTATATGTGTGTGTGTATATATATATATACTTATATATACTTATATACATATATAAGTATTTATATGTGTGTGTGTATATATATATATGCATTTTAAGTCATCTTAGAATTAAGAGTAGCATCTAGTCAGTAATGGTTAAGTGACTAGAACTGTTATTCAATCAATGTTCTATGGTATCACATATCAAAGTCTACAATATGACAGTCTTGTTTAGTAGTTATCACTTTGGGTGAAGAAGGGAGGCACAGAAGAAAAACAATTGCAATTTTTGTTTTTTAAACACCAGAAAATCCTTAAATAGCTACACAATTTTGCATTGTCTTGTATTCTATTCTGAAATATTTGGAAAAAAGTCTTTATTTCAATAAGCTTAATCCATACATGTTATAAGATACAAACAGTCTAAAACCTATATTGTAAAGAATGAGCTATTTCTCATTAAATGAAGATCAATAAAAATTATTAAATAGAACACACACATAGCATTCTCAATTTTTAAATCATTCTAGGGTTGCTAACCAGAGATTATAGAAACAAAATGTGTAAGACAAAAATGAAAGCAAAGATAGAAAAAAAAAAAAACCTAACTTTTCAGTGCATCACACCTATGAGGATAAAATATATGGCACTTATGTGATACTAAATTACAATTGTCAATTTAAGCTGGAAATGACTTGAAGACATTAAAGCCACAAAAGGGTAGGTACTAGTCAATTAAACTTTTTTCTTAGTRAAAGCACTGGAAATGTAATGAGTGCAGATAACGCACTACAAATTTTCCTGTTTCATTTGCCCCCACTGTAGTGTCTCAAATTATTCTACCATTACAACATTCTCATTTTTAAAATAAACTCTATTTTGCTATAGAAACCACTGTCTGCAGTGTAAGAATGCCTTTATATAAAAAAGAAAACCATATATAGAGCTAGTTATAAATCACAGAATAAACCCCAAAACAAAAATCTGATATTTTTACAAGCTAGTGAGAAATAAATTATACCATGATATATCAATTAAAAATTGTATCAATGTTAACTAACATTTCTATGGTAGATTTTTCCCCCCATAAAATTAAGCAGTGCAGAATAGGGCTTGGGCTACAGTTAATCACATTTGGTTTTCTTAAAAACAACTTTATTCACTATAAACAATTTAAAGGCAGTTTTCTCCCTCCATAACACATGTAGAGATTAAATTTAAGGTTTTTAAAATATCAACTACCTATAAGAAAAGTACTTTTAAATGGCTAAAAGGAATCAAAATATCAAAGTTTAGTGTGTGAAGAGTAGATACAAACAACCAAGAAAAAAAAGTAGGTCATTGGTGTTGAGTATTTAACATGAATAGCCCAAAGTAAGTTCCAAAGTTTTTCCATCTTTACAAATTAAAAAAGGTGTCCTTTCCACAGTTTGGGGATATGCATTGTACATCTCTCCCAACAATTGCATGAGTAAAATTTTTAAATGTTGCCAATATTAAGTTCTTCAGTACCTAAAATTAGAGGACAGCAATATTACAGTGGCAATGGTGCATCAATTCTTAAAAAGTAGTTATGATCCAACACGAGTTGTGGTGGTTCTTTTATCTGAGAAAAAGCTTTTCAGAAGAAATACCTGCCCTATGCTAACCACCAGAAGAATGAGGGCTTCCCCTACTGACCAATAGGCCACTCTTGTATTTAGATCTTCTGCTCGACTTCGGCCTTGAGCTTCTCTCAATCGGAAATGAGTCTGATAGTCAATGACAGACTTGAGAGCTTCATGAATGGAAACACAGGCAGACTCCATCTAAAGAGAAATATTTTCAGTTAGTATATTTAGTACTTTCTATACACTCCATATCTAGCATATTCATYTTAACTTTCAATCTCAATTCCTCATTATATTAACAATCTCATAAACTGGCACTCACTCTTTCACTCACTTTTACCTCAGCTGTCCTGGCAATGTAACCCTTCTATTCATTCCCCCWACGACCAACTGTAAGCCTAGAGATACTATGAAGCAGTTGTCTATCCCTAACACAGGTGTGGTGTTAGTAAGGTGGTACACTGAATACTAAGTTAACAACCAGAAATACTTACCAGCTAAGGTTGGTAGCTATAGACTTCCAAGCTCAAATTCTTCAAAGAATTAGGAAGAATAGCATAAAAACAGATTGAGTTCATCAAAGTTATTTGAAATATTTGTGTCTAATTTTTTTATACCAGGGTTTAATATTTCTTTTATTGCTTAAAACTGTAATCCAGTGATGAAACACATACTTTATTACTAATTTATTTCACAAATCATGTATTAAGAATTAAAAAAAAAAATCTGAATTTGCCTTAATTCTAATTAAGGTATGCAGAGATGAGAAAGTAATTTAAACATTTATTAAAGTTCTACCAATGAAAGTATGAAAGGAATAATTATAAAAATTCAATTAAAGGTGCTTTAAAAATGTGAGAAAGTATAATGTTGACAAATTGGATTTATCTATTAGAATATTCATATGTTTTTGTTATTCTTGATCTGTTGAGGTCCCTAGGAATAAAAAATTACCAAAACTGTTCTAAAACAAGTAACCTCTAAGGACAGAGAAAGAGGTGCTTCTAGCATTTCTTTGCTTTCTATGAATTCTCAAAATGAAATGTAGTTCAAGGGTTCTGCACTTGGCAAGTACACATAAAAGCAAGGATTTGACACAAATTCAGAATGTGTAAAATCCTTCTGAATCCTCTCCAGGAATTTGGATTAAGAACTGCCAGAGTAGAGAAATATCACAGACATTAAGGAACTAAGTTACATGAATTCATCTAATTTTTGAGATGTGCAGGATTTTTTTTTTTACACTTTGAAAGTGGAAATTTTCATACATATTCAAAAGTACAAAGAATAGTACAATGAACTCCATATCAGTAATTATTAACACATAGCTAATCTTGTTTCATCTATATTCTCCCCACCTATTTTCTTCAATCATTTTAAGCAAATCCCACATATTTTATCATTGCAGCTACAAATATTTTTACACTTCAGTTCTAAAAGATAACACTTAAAAAAAAAACTCAAAAATAACTCCAATGGCATTACACATAATTAAAAATAGTTCTAGCAAGTCAATAAATGCAAATTTGCTTTCAAATTTCCTCTAATATCTCAAAGTTATTTTCAAACTGGAGTTCAAATAAGGTGAACACCTACAGACATTTGGCTGATAAGTTTTTAAAGTTTCTTTAACCTTTAGTTTCTTTTCCCTTGTTATCTATTTGTTGAAGAAACTGGGTAGAGAACCTATGGTATTTCCCACTTCCTGGATTCTGCTGATTGCATTCCCATGATGTTCTCTTATCTTCTGTAATTACTGAAAATTGACAGGTGGAGTTGGAGACTTGATGGAATTTAGGTGTAATGTTCTGAACAGGGAACTCCTCATAATATTGTATACTTCTTATAGCACATGATCACAATGCACATAATGTTGATTTTTTTCTCCACTGGAGAATGACCATTAGTTTTAAGTGATATCAGTTCAATTCATCCATTATAGAGTTTCTTATCAGCCTTTCATCTTATGATTTTAGCAGTGCCTGCCTATTCTAGATCTATTGTATTAATGGATAACAAATGGTGAGAATGAATTAATTCATTTATTTTCCACTTATTAGTTGAGATTTTTCTCAATTTTAAAGTATAAATAATTGCTATATGAGTAACCCTACTATATGAAATTTACTAGCTTTTTGAAAGTAGAAAAATGAGACAAAGATTAAAAATGTGATACGAATAAAGGAGGCTAAACTGCTTTACTGTCACTCATTTCCTATTTACCCGCTTAAGTTTATAGAATAGCTACTTTCTTATGTAAGTTAAAATTCACTAAAATATAGATATAGATTAAGCTATAAACAATAATTCCAAGGAAAAAATCAGTTTACTAAGCAAAGTGCCTTTCACACAGAATCCTAAAGAGAACTTTATAAAAATAAGAGCATTTGAATGTATCTTGTTAATGCTTACACTAGGTTTACGAATTAAAGCACATATAAAAATTTATACATTTTTCTAACTGCCTCTATCACCTGGATGTTAGCAAGAGACTCAATAGAATTTCTAAACTCAGAGTTTAACAAATACATGGCAAATAATTTCTTCTGATAACTCATTAAGTTACCTTTTAGATATAATCTAAGCTTATACTGTATTTGAACTGGAAATAAAACTTCTCATCACCTAAGCAATATCTACTCACTGGCTTTAAATTTCTTTCACTATCTTTCTCTTATTAACCTTTTTAAGAAATAAAATCAAATAACTATTATTAGATGATTTACAATTAATCTTCAACATTTTACCTTAAGTTATAGCAAATTTATTTTGAGTAAGTATGATATAGACTACTGTGTGGTATATTTACATATTAATTTAGGCATCATTTTGCTTCCTATTACACCAACCTACCAAGGTATTCACAGAAAATGCATCAGAAGGAGCCTTCSTAAGTTTCCTTTACTATTGATGTTTCTATCTTAGTGACTGTAATGGTTTAGATCTTAAATATTCCCCAAAAGTCCATAGGCTAAACGCTTGATTGCCACTCTATGGTGCTACTGGGAGGTGATGGAACCTTTAGGAGACAGGGGCTTAGTGGGAGGAAGTTAGGTCACCGGGACATGCCTTTGAAGGAGATATTGGGACCTATGTCCCTTACCCTTTTTCACTTTGCTTCCTAGCTGCCATAAGTAAGCAGCTTTGCTTTGCCAAGTGCTCCCAGTTATGATATTCTGTCTCTCCACATGCCCCCTCCCCCCAAAAATAGTACAGCCAGCAACCATGGAGAGAAATCTCTGAAACAGGGAGCTAATAWAAACCTTTCCTCCTTTTATCTCAAGATATTTTGTTTCAACAATGGAAAAATAACAATAATCTCTTATTTTAATGCTTCTTCCTTTCTTTACACTTAAATGTTCATAAAAATCTTAACATTGGTTTTCTACATAAAATATGAAGTTGTCTGTGAAATGACTAATCTACCTTAAGAATTAAGTTTCAAAGATTGTGTTAAAATGTCAAAATTCTATGTTCACCAATGAATTCATGCATGATATTAAGTTACAATTTACTTCTTTCTTTTAAACATATCAACATTATTTTGCTAACTTTTAATTTACCTGGGTAAGAGCACTGACTCGGTTCTCACTAGGAAACAAAGGTGGGTCTTCTCCAACTTGAAAATCAAAATATACGGTTTTATGTGTGAAAGTAGAAAATTCATTGCTGAAGCAAAACTTATATGTTCCATTTTTGGAAGCTGTAAAGGTGAAACTATCATACTGTTTCTTCATCTCTTTGTATAACACTTTACCATCAGGATCTTCTAATCGACAATCTACATCATAATGACCACCAGTAATCACCTATGAGAGAGAGAAAAAAATCACTGCAACTCATAAGCTTGAGAAATTAGCCAGGTTTCCTGTTAAGAAGGCAATAAGGTTATGTATGGGCAAAGGACTTTCATTGTCAAAGACAATTTTACAGTTTTTAATTTTCATCAGTGGATGAAACTTGAAAGGAGATTTCAATTAAATTAAAGCTTTATAGAAATTGCCCTTTAAACTACTCAGACAACTGTGCTAGTAAATATGAATCGAACATATCGCTTAATTTAGAAAGAAGTGATGAGGAAGAGGCATTAGGTTTGAGAGTTCCTAACTACCATGAGCCTAGGTGAACAAGCTTGTTGTTTTTAAGCTTCAACTCTCCTGGTTAACATAATATTTACATTCTACATCCTTATAACAAAGAGGTCAAATCTGGACTTCAAAGAAAGATCTGCTATTTATGTGACCTTTCATCACTGAAGAGAGGTGACAACTAATTGAACTATGTTACAGGATCATTTGATAATAAAATTATGTACTTAGGGAATTGTAAAAATATGTAAACATTAACATACATATGAAATATTTTGAGATTAAAAAAGTGTCTCATCAACTGGGCATTTATCCCGCCCCCAGAAAGTTAATAATCTTTTCTCCAGGCAAAAATAATGACTTCATTTTGATATAATCAATTATTCATCCTCAATCATTGTATTCTGAGTAATCAAATACATACATAAAAACTGTATAGTATCAAAACTGATCATTACTCTACCTTTCTTTCATCACACTTTAAACAAACAAATAATCCTATTCCAGTTAATAGTACCTTTTTAAACCTCTCTGGTCACCTATGATTGGAACTGCAGATCATCCTAAACTTAAGTGTTCCTACCTGTCCAAACAATGACAGAAATTTCTTGATCTTACTGCCTCTTTCAAATTTGTCCCATTCCTAACCACAATACGCTGTTGTTATAATTTCCTAAAAGGTTTTCCCACAATCTAATCTCTTCTCCCCCTAACTCTGGGTTTTTTGCTTTGGCCTTACTCCCATTTGGGGCTGTAATATAGCAGGGGCTATGTTGTCCTTGCACTTAGTACTCATTTAAAAACCTTTTGACAATTCACATGGCCTACCAAAAATCCAAACCTGTTTAACGGTGTACCATTCTCCTGTTCCTCCTGTAGCCTTGGCATCTCTTTTGTTCATAACCTTGCTCGTTCTGTGTTCCTAAAATACCAGACTACCAGAAGTTCTCTGAACTTTTGCTTCACATCTGCACTGACAGTGGCATTTCAACAACACTTGTTTACTCAAGAATACTTATAGGATCCCAAATGACAATGCTTACAAATAGACAGTTTACTACAGGTAAAGAGTACAATACAAAACATCATTGCCAAAGGCTGTCTGGAGAGATCAGGTGTGGGCTCCTTTTCTTCCCCCTGTGAGGTCTGTAGTCAAGATCTCTCTCAGATCAGGAACTATTCTAAAGTGCAAACAATACCTCASTGCCAGGGAACCCAAAATAGAATGTAGGCTGGGTTTTTAAATACTGTTACATAGACAGGCATATTCTTACTAAGCAGACAGTCTCAATAATAGCCTTTGGCGGGGGAGGGGGCAGTCCTCAAAGAAACCCAGTGCAAATCATCTATCTTGTTGATATAAAAAAATAAAAAATGTTGACAAACTGATACAAATCACCCACAAAGCCCTGAGACCCACATTTACAAAGCAAAACTATTACTATTCAGTATATCRCAGTACCGCATACAAATTTTAGTGTAAGAGTTCAGGCTAATTTCAGGTCTGCTAGAACTCTCAGAAATACATCTGCCTAGAGTGCCCCTTTCTCCTTCCTCTGTCATATCATAGAGCATTTAAATTCTATTTATCCCTGTAGACTTAGCCAAACATCAGCTCCTCATTTAAATTTCCCTTRATGTTCCTTCTGCTCTCTGCCACACTTTTATTTTGGCATTTATATAACTCTAATTGTCTATGAAAGCTCTTTGAGGTCAAAGTAACTCTTATTGGGGCTGGGCATGTGGTTCAAGCGGTAGCGCACTCGCCTGGCATGCGTGTGGCCAGGGTTCGATCCTCAGCACCACATACAAACAAAGATGTTGTGTCTGCCAAAAACCAAAAAATAAATAAAATATTAAAAAAGTAACTCTTATCTTTGTGAGGTAATATAATAAAATAGTTAAAAGTTTAACTTGGGATTGTACAATTGATTCTGTTGCTTTTAAGTTTGGTGACTTTGGGTCTTATCCAATCTAKGCCTGAGTCTCACCAATAAAACAAGAATAAAAACTCTATTTCACATCAAGATTTCCTGCTGGATGTGGTGGCACACACCTGTAATCCCAGCAGCTCAGAAGGCTGAGACAGGAGGATCATGAGTTCAAAGCCAGCCTCAGGGGAGGCTGGGGATATAGCTCTGTTGGTACAGTGCTTGCCTTGCGTGCACAAGGCCCTGGGTTCAATCCCCAGCACCACAAAACAAACAAACAAACAAACAAAAAAAACCCCAAAACAAAGCCAGCCTCAGCAATTTAGTGAGACACTAAGCAACTCAGTGAGACCTTGTCTCTAAATAAAATACAAACTAGGCCTGGGATGTGGCTCAGTAGTTGAGTGCCCCGGAGTTCAATTCCTGGTAACCCCTCCAAAAAAAAAAAAAAAAAAAAAAGATTTCTTGAGAATTAACAAATACACCTTAACACTTGGCATACTATATACACATAACAGATGCTAATTTGTTAGCTCTTATAGCATCCTCAACATATAGACAACATCTATACATATATGCATTCAAGAAATGTTTATTAAATTCAAAATAAAGGAAATTTTAGCTTACACTTATAGTACAATTCCTGCTATCTTCTTTTTTGTCTCCTGGTCTTAATCCATAAAGTGAAGCAAGCCTAAGAGTTATCCTTAGCCTCTTCTCCCTCAAGCACTATAGCCAAATCATTACCAAGTCCTACTGATTTTACCTATTATTACATTATCTCCAATCCTTTCATTTTACTCCTTCCCCACTGCTACCACTCTAATCTAAGCCACTATCAGTTCTTGCCTGGACATCACAGTCTCCTCATTAGCCTTACAGGTCTTCTCTGAAACACCTTACCCACCCTTTCTACCTTACTTAAGTTATAATCCATGCATCCTATGTTGATCATATTTTCAYTCCTCTATCCTACCTCAACATCACTGAACTACTTAAAACCCTCTGATGGCATCTCATATTGCTAAGTAAAACTAAAAAACCCAACATGACCAGCAAGGCTCTACATGTTCAGGCCCCTGCTGAACTCCCTTCCTCTGGCTCTTTATTCCTGACTATAATGACCTCTCTGTGGTTCTCAAATTCTCTAGGTTCACTCCTATCATAAGTTATTTCCATCTCTCTTATCAAAGTATTTACAACTCATTCTTAAAARTTCACCATTAAAATTATTTTCTAAAGGAGCCTTCCATGATTCCAAAGACTAGATCACAAATTCCTTATTTCCTGCTCTTAAAATATACTAAACGGGGCACARGGGCACAAGCCTGTAATTCAAACTTGCAAGGCTGAAGCAGGAAAATTGCCAAGTTCCAGGCCACAGCTTGGGAAACTTAGTAAGACCCTGTTTCAAAATAAAAAATAAAAAAGGAGGGGGATGTAGCTCAGGAATAGAGTGCCACTGGGTTCAATCCCCAGTACCACCACAGCAACAACAACACCAACACCAAAARCCAGGTTTGTGAATAGGCAGGTACTAATTAAAAAGGGTAGGATGAGAGGGGAATGAAAAAATGATGGCAGCAATCCTAAGTCATTTCTTTATCACCAGGACTTAACCCTCAATAGCTGCTAAAATGCTAAATGATGAGTGAAAATTGAAACATTAGATAGTTCTACTCAACTAAAGACATCACATTCTGTTGACTAAAGTTCCTTTTTTTTTTTTTTTAAAACACAATCCCAAAGATGAGAAGGGGCCTCTAATTTATTACCATTTTTTTCTACACCTTTTGCGGATGCTTCTAATGGAGTTCTTACAATGAGAGAAATGCTTAACCAAGAATCCTAATATCACCGGAAAAACTGAAAAACAATGAAATAAATACTGGCAGCACCTCAAATCCGATTAAAGTGGAGGTGTAAATTAGAGTGGGCGATTGAAATCGGGCATTTTAGAGCAGGTATTGCTTTTTTTTTTTTTTAAGGAAATCTTTTAAGAAAGAAAGTTCAATAGGCTTTAAAATGAAGGACACAGAAGAATAGGCAAAAAAAGTCACAGCTAGCAGAAGCATTTCTGGAATTCACATATCTTAATATCCGGTCTTAAATGTCTCCTGTCCAAGGTTTAGAAAAGGAAAGCCAAATGCCCTGCATCAGCTACCTAGAGGTGATTCTTGAACTAGTCAAAGAACGGAGAAACGCGGACAGGAGGGAGGCACCCCTGCAGGTTACAGTCGCGACCCAGGAGCCGCGGCGAGTGGGGCGCGGGGCCTCTGAGGCCCGTGGTACCTGGAACTCGAGGGTGCACTTGGTGCCCTGTGCTATGTCCTCGTAGAAGCACTGCTTGGCGTTGTCCGGCAGCTCGAAGGTAATTTCGGAGGCGCCGCCGGGCCCCGTAACCAGCAGCAGTAGCAGCGCGAGAAGCCAGCAGCCCCAACTGCCCGCGGCAGCCGCCCAGCGTTGCGCAGACCCCGGCCGTGGCATCCCGAGACGGCGGCGGCCTCGACGGAGCTGCGCTGAGACGCGGGGTCAGGTCTGCGCGGAGTCACCGCGCGCCGCAGGCCTCAGTCCGAGGCGCCCTGAGAGGACGCACGCAAGATCCGTCTCGAGTACCAGGGAGGTGTGGGGTGACAGCAAGCCGCCGGATTCGGAAGAGGGGCGCGAAGGGGCTGGGCCACGGTCAAAGAACCACCCGGAGAGTAAGGAGAAAGCCTTCAGAGAAACAGCGGAAAAGGCCTGAGACGGCCGGAAATGGGAGTAAGGGCTTGAAGGGAAGGGGCGGGGCCTAAGGCACCTGCTCCAGCGACCCGGATGTGTTCTCAACGGAGGAAAGGCAGTGGAGTGTGTACGTGGAAGCCCAGGAGGCGTCCGCGGTGCCTYCGCTGCAACTCGGGACGAGGGGCGGGGCCATCGTAGTAAACGGGTGGGGCGGGGCCAAGAGAGGGCGTGGGGCCGACCATTGCGTTGGAGGTGCCGGTCGGGGTACCACTGAACTTTCAGGAAACAAGTAATTATGTGCTACTAGGTTTTGAGTGTCAGGGAAGCTCTGAGTGAAGCTCTGAGACTGGTAGTAGAGCGCTTTGCAATTTGCAGAGTTTTCCTATAAGTAATAATTAATGTTTTAAGGACGTAGCCTGGCAAAGACTGCAGACTGCGAGGGTTCTAATTCTTGCTCTCTACCTCCTGGCCATCTAACCTTGGGCCGGTTGCTTAAACACTCWGCCTCAGTCTTTGTATCTGTTAAATGAGAATAATGATAGTACCTACTATAGAGGATTATTATAAGATTTCATTATTTGAAAAAAGCACCTGAAAGAGTGGTTGGCACATGGCAAGCATTAGATAAGCTTTTTAAAAATAAAAATAATCATTTATTGAGCATACCTATCATCAAGCACATTCCACTTTTCAAATAACCCAAACTAGTTAGTTATTAAGGATATATTTCTGATAAGGACCTTAAGGATCAAAAAAGTTGAGTAAAGTGACATATGATTATACCACTGGTTTGTGTTGGAGTGCTTATAAATTAATAGAAGGTAATGTTAATAATTGTACCTAACGTGTGCTATTTCTTAACAGTGCATTATACATTTTCTCATGCATTTTACACGAATTAGGTATAATTATTATTTAAATAAATGACCACTGTGGGCTCCAGTCATGAGAGGTTTGAGTAGAAGATTTTATGAGAAGGAAATAGCAGTAGATAGATTGGAGTCAGGCAGGGAAGTGAGGGTTGGGAGGTTGAAAAGTCAGTGAAGTTGGGCTGCTTCTTGGTCTGGGGCACCCATATTCTCTACGGTGGGGGAAAGAAGTAGAATATACCTGAAGTCAAAGTCCTTAGCTGCTGGGAGGCAATTTGGGCAAACAGATCTTGAGAACCAGGCCAGTAACAGAAGCATTATTAGTGTTGGGGAGTGGAAATAAGACTGAATTTGAAAATAGCAAATGTGGGTTCTATTTACTAACTGTGACCTTGAGCAAGTAACCTTGCTCTTTTAAAAGCTCTCAGTTTTTTTTCCTACATAAAATGGTGATACAAAGGAACTAGCAAAACAGAATGAATAAGATTAAAACAGTAATGTGATATAGATCACATATCCCTAAAAAGGCAAAAATTTTCAAGTATAGCACTACCAGATATCATTAAGCATATAGAGCAAAAAAATCTCTCTGTGCTGCTAGTGGAACAGTAAATTGGTACAATCATTTTGGAATGCAGTATGGCGTTATCTAATAAGTATAAAATATATATGTGTGTGTACACACATACACATATACACATATTTGAGAGAGTGAGAGAGAAAATTCACATGGAAATTCTACTTTACATATATTTTMGAGTGTATACTTTAGAGAAGTGTTTCTCGAAGTATCTTCTGAATACCCTTGGAGCCTCTCAAACCCTTTCAGAGGGTCTATAATTATCTGTGTGAGGCTGGATTTTTTATTACATGTGTCAGCTGAAACAACGTGTTATAACARAGTGAATGTAAAAAGAGATAAGCACCTATCTTCTATGAATCTAGATGCAAGAGATTTATAAATATATAAAGTAATGTCTCTCTTCTCATTAAACTTATTTGGCAAATATAGCTATACTTCATTTTTAAATATGTTATTGGTGTATAAATATCTGTAATGGTTTGAACTGTATACTGCAAAAAAACATACATCCTAACYACTGTTTCTGTGAATGTGACCTTATTTAGAAGTAGGATTTTTGCAGATGTAGTTAAATTAAAAATTTCTAGATGAAATTTTTTGTGGATTTAGGGTGATCCTTGAATTTAATAACTGGTGTTCTTACACAAGAAAAGAGGGAGACTTAAGACACACAGAAACRCTTGGGAAGAATGCCACATGAAGACAAAAGTTATGATGTGTGTGTAAGTCAGGAATACCAAAGATTGTCCACAGCCATCAGGAGTTAGGAAAGAGATTTGAAACAGCTTGTCCTTCAGAACTTCCAGAAGGAACCAACACTYATTATACTGTAATTTTGGAGTTTTGGCCTCCACAACTGTGAATGAATAAGTTTCTGTTGTTTTAAGCCATCAAGTTTGTGATTATTTGTTATGAGATTTTCAGGAAATAAATGTAATATGTAATGAATTAGATGTTATTTTACATGAATTATTCAATAAATACTTAGTTTAAATGTCTCAAAACTCAATAAGTTTTTCATTTTAAATGTATTAATTTTAAAACTTTTATTTTTTTTTTTATTTTTAAGGTACTGAGACTGAAAAATGTGAGAATCACTGCCTTAGAGAAACTCATGCATAGGTATACCAGGACACATATACAAGAACAGAGCCAAAGCCTTGTAATAGTCCTGCTATTTTGGATTGGAAGTGTCCCCCCAAAATGCATATTGTAAAATATACCAGTGTGGCACTTTTGGGAGATGGTGGAAACTAAGAGATAGGGCATACTGGGTGGTCTTCAGGTCATCAAGGGAATGTTCTCAAAGCAGATTGTGTGAGCCCAGACCCTTCCTCTTCCTCTTTCTTCTTTTTCCCCTGGCCATCACATGAGCAGTTTTGTTCTTCTATGTACTACTACTGTGCTGTACTATCTTGTTGAAGACCTAAATGAAACAGAACTAACCAATCATGGACTGGAGCCTCCAAAACGGAGCCAAAATAAATTTTTATTTTTATAAGTTGATTATTTCAGATATTTCTTACAGTGACCTTGTTAGCCAGGTTTCTATCACTGACAGAATACCTGAGAAAATCAGCTTGGAAAAGGTAAGATTTATTTTGACTCCTGAGTTCAGGAGTTTCAGTTCAGATTTGGCTGGCTCCATTGTTTCTGGGCCTAGGTGGGCAGTTCATCATGGCGGAGAGTGTGGCTGAGCAAAGCTTTTCATCTCATGGCCATAGGGGAACAGAAAAAGCATCCAGGAGCAAAACATACCCTTCGAAGGCATTACTTCCAGTGACCTTCCTCCAACTGAGCCCTACCTCCTAGCAGCCTACTCAGTTATGAATTCATCAGTGTATTTATCCATTGATGAAGTCAGCATCTTCATGATCCAGTCACTTCTGAACATTGCTGAACTGGAGACCAAATCTTCAACACATGAGCCTTTTCAGGGACATTMTGGATCCAAACCACAATAGTGATGGAAAACTGACTAACCTAAGTCCCAACTGGAAATACATCAAACATCCATAAATTTGGATATATTTATAAAATAAGACATAATAGCAATGAAAATGAACACATTATAGSTACATAAGACAACATGTGGGAATCTTAAAAATATTAAAACTAGACAAGAAAGAAATTATGCAGAGAAAGGCTGACAATAAAGCTAAATAGGCCTGTTTTCCCTAATATGTTGAGAAAGTATACARAAAAGCAAGGGAATGATTATCTCAAAGGTCAGGAGAATGGGATGGATGGAATTAGTAAGTAAGAAATGACAAAGAGTAGGGATAGTGGGCAGCCTCTTTCATGCTGGTGGTGCCATTTATCTTGACCTATATGGCAGATACAGAGATGTATACTTTCTAATTATTTATTAAGCTTGAATATGATCTATGTGCTTTTACTATGAATATAGTTCAGCAGAAAGGAAAGAAAATTTAATATATTGGATGCAACAGTTAATCATTATTATGGGAAAAAACACCTCAAAACTTGTGACTTGGGACAACTGTATTTATCATCTACTAGTAGGCCAGCTGGGTGGGTCTYGTTTCAGCTGAGCACATTCATCCTCTGTGGTCAGTTGAGTGTTGAGCAGGTGCCTTGCTGAACTTGGCTSTACTCATTCATATCTGGGCAGGAGAGCTAGCTATAGGCTGCTTTAAGATGATCTTTCTTGGGTACAGTTGGACTCAGATTCTTGTAGGAGTCCTTCCTTCTCCAATAGGCTAGTCCATGATTATTCTATGATGGTTCCAGGGGTTTCAGGAAAGACAATGTACAAGACCTCTTAAGGCTAGTGCTCAGAAATGGGCCCTGTCACTTCTTCCTCATTTTCTTATCCTAAAGTCACAAGGCCAACTCAGATTCAAGGGTTGCAGAGAAGCTGCAAAGACACATTGTCAGTCAGRGTTTTATTAGAGAAGCAGAATCATTAAAGACCTAAACAGATAATCATGCACATATATAGAATATATTTGTATACACATATATAGCTGATTAAACAGTCTAAAGGTGGCTGTTCCTTCTGTATCTGATTCTGTATTCTGAAGTCTACAAATAACATACACATCATGAAAGGAAGAAGAATGTGAAGTGGGAAAAGGAGAAACTAAAACCTGGGAGGATGGGCCATACCCACAGCACTTTCTCACTGTATCCAAGCTCCAACTTTGATGATAGGTGAACTGCAAGAAAACCTGACTTTCTTTCATACATACACATGCACACACCTTGAGAGCCAGAGACTCTTCAGGCATAAAAAAGAATATTGCAATTGTAATGCTGTACTACCTGTTGAAGACCTAAATGAAATAGAACCAACCAATCATGGAAGAGAGCCTCCAAAATGTGAGCTAAAATAATTTTTTCTTTTTCATAAGTTGATTATCTCAGATATTTCTTATAGCGACTGTGTTAGCCAGATTCCCTTGCTTTTTTTGTATACTTTCTCAACGTATTAGGGAAAACAGGCCTATTTAACTTTGTTGTCAGTCTTTTTCTGCAAGATTTCATCTTKCTTAGTTTTTATAATGTTTGTGAGACTCCCCCATGTTGTCTTATGTAGCTATAAAGTGTTAATTTTCATTGCTGTTGTGTCTTGTTTTAT